GTACAGCGTTTCGGCTGTTGAGCCTTCTTCAGGTGGAATCAGTGGAGGTTCACGGTAGTTTTATTAGAACCAGGACTCCACCAAAAATCTTGATTCTGGTATAGTTATTAAACTATTCAAGCTTGCAAAATAGGAAGATTATTAAACACTGTATAAGTAAGAATGGAAATGTATATAGATACAATTCAAAACTGGGTGGTCAACACCTGCAGGATAATGCTTATGTCAACACACACAGGTATCAAAAAGCAACTGTAAATGGGAAGTGTTTGTATAGACACATTATTTACATCTACTGCAACACTGTGTCACCGTGTTCTAGAAGTGATATTGCTGTTCTGTTCTAGGGTCAATCCAGAGAACAGCAACTGGATACATCCTGGGACTTATGGGTATGTCCTTAAGGCGGATCTTGTTAGTCCTGAACAGAGAAGACTATAAGAGGATGTGATCCAAGTGTTTACAGTCCTCAAGGGCACTAGCAAAGTCAACCGAGCAGACGACTTCAGAAGCAGCAGTGAAACATGAACCAGGGGACTCAAGTGGATACTATGTGGAAGAGCGCTGAAAAAACAGGAGGCAGATCTTACGTAAAAGGTTGTGGGAGTCTGAAATAAGGTACCCAGCCACACTGTCGAAGCCAATACTTGCTGACTTCGAGAATCAGATGGATGAGATCCTTGGATACATTAACTATCTACCAAATGAACTAAATGGGCCAAATGGCCTCCTCTTGATTGTTTCTTATATTCTTTCTTCTTTCAAATAAGACCAATTTTAGTTTTTGAAACATCTTTCACTGTGAGCAAACTGCTCATTTACTATGGAGTGAGAAGTGTGCTCACTTTAAGCCTTAAATTGCCTAAAATAAATGGGTCTAGAAACTTGATGGATGACCCGTTCTAGTCAAATTCCTAGCAATTTGTTATTTACACTTTTATAAATCTACTTTATCTCTGTAAACTTTAGCATTACATCTGAATTTAGGTCTCTTGAATTTAGGTCTCTTGAGCACCCTGTATCTATTTCTTCTTTTTTTCAGTTAAGCATAAAGTAATCACCTAATTTTGGAAGAACTGCATAAACTTGTGGGCTCTTTTGCCTCTAAAAAAATAGTTTCAGACAAAAAAAACCCTTTCTGATGAGTATTAAGAGAGATGCTTTTCTTTAGTTCCTAACTATGGCTCATTACCTGTGTACTGTGTACTAAGACAAATCTGCAGTCATATTCAGGCAATAGTGTAGAGCAGGGGTTGGGCTCTGGATGCTATATTAAAAGGCATGGCTTCATAACCTGGCTCTGACACTGCTGTCCTGCCTTCAGCAATGCACTTTGCTCAGTTTTGCTCCAGCATGTGTACCGCTGTATATGTAAATACCAGAATCATTACAATTTGTTCTCAATGGCCTTACCTGCTAAAATCAAAGAATAAAAAAAACACTTCATCGCTTGAGCCACAGTTCTTATCTCAACTCACATTTAGATTTTGGTCATCAAAATGTCACTTAAAAAAATGAAATGAACTAACTTGAAAATGCCCTGACATCTGCAGTCCTGACCTCCACTGTTTGCAGATAAGAGCCCCATTTCATTAGAGAGGACCTGGAATATGATGACAAACACGCTCTCTGACAAGACACGGCAATGCAAACTAAGTTTGAATGGGTTATATTTCTGAAGATGGATATTACAATTAAGAATTTAAATTAAAGCAAAAACAAACTCTCATTCAGTTAGAAAAATTCAGTGGCTTAAGGAGGATCTGTCTTGCGCCTGAAAGGAGAATGTGATGAAGAATTCCAGCAAGATTTCTTAAGATACCTTCACCCCCATCACATTGGATCAGCAGCTCACAGTCTAACTGGTTGCTACATGCCTTGACAGTTTCTAAACCAGTCGGTTACATTAGGAATATGAGCTCAGTTTGCAAACACAATCCATCAGATTCTAACACTTGAATGCATGTTAGCTTCAGATCATGGCAAGTGCAATTTTTGTATAATTATTTATAGTGCCTTTCACTTCAAAGCACCTCAAAAAAGAACAAAACATAGTTTAATAACTTAAAAATGTGTAACTACAGTATATTTAATACAACTACTAGTAATCCATTTAACAGTTATTTTTCTGGCATTTATTTAGTATTTTCCACTTTACAGGTCATGGGGATCCCCTCCACCACCACCAATGTGCAGCTCCACCTGGATGATGCGACGGCAGCCATAGTGCACCAGTACACTCCCCACACATCAGCTATCAGTGGGGAGGAGAACAGAGTGATGAAGCCAGTTCACAGATGGGGATTATTAGGAGGCCATGATTGATAAAGGCCATGGTGAAATTTGGCCAGGACGCTGGGGTTACATCCCTACTCTTTTTGAGAAATGCCCTGGGATTTTTAAAGACCATGGAGAGTCAGGACCTTGGTTTTACATCTCATCCGAAGGCAGGCGCCTTGTCTACAGTATAGAGTCCCATTACTACACTGAGGCATTAGGACCCACACAGACCGCAGGGTGAGCGCTCCCTACCCCACCTCTTCCAACAGCAACCTGAGCTTTCCCAGGAGGTGTCCCATCCAGGTACTGGATGCTTAGTTTCAGTGGGTTGTCAGTGGTGAGTTGTAAAAGTTAAACAAGAGCATGCATGTGGCTGAGCCAGGAAAGGCATGCATTGGGTGGCTCACGCCTGGTTGAGCACTGCTGCAGTGAACTGGGCTGAAGTCAGTACACCACACAACAGTGACTCCTGTGGCTTGCCAGGAGCCTGCAGGCTTTCACTGTTGGCAGTAGAAGGCTCTTCTGTTTGCCTTCCCACACTGTTTCATTGGCCTTGGGGGTTTGCCGTGGGAGTGACAAATGATGACCTGACAAGCCCTGGTTTGGTTCGGGGGAAGTGTTCAAAGGCTGCGGTAGAAAATTGCGCTGATCAAGGATCAGACAGTCCCCAGAAACCATGTCTACAAACTGGTGATTCCCCCATTTAACTTGGAGAGTGCAGCACAGCAGGAGCATAAGATTTTAAGACCAAAAAAAGCTTTTAAAGTAGTTGAATTTATTTGTTTATGAAATAAAAACCTATTGCTAAAAAACAGACAAAAGTGACAGAACCCATAGCTGTCGCAATTTTTTTAAAGCTGAATAACTCTGAAAACATAAAGGTACAACGATGTAGCATTGAATGAGTACTTAGGTAAAAGCCTGTCATATTACAGCACTGAAAACACATTACAGTACCTTTTAAGATGTCGCACTGTGTTCTCACTTTCTGCTTTGCATACATAGACACCCAGTGGTGGATCACTACAACTTACTGGCAGTATTTGTCCAGAGAAGGAGATCAGTTTGGAATTTTCCACACATTGTTGCAACACTTTTGTTTCAAGTGCGGGAACGAGCACTGCAAGTCGCTTTCTATATCTCATGCGGGCTCGTTCCCATCGGGAGACAGGCCGTCGTGATGAAACCCTGATGCTAAGCGCTCAGAGGGTTTCTAAAGAGTGAGCCAGCTTTCCTTTAGTAATTCAGCCTCTAGCTTGTACAACAATGAACCCCCATGGCTGCAGCTTTTCATTCCGTGCCAAAATCACTGCACTACAACGCAAATGGACACCAGCATCGACGTGCTTCGATTTAACTATTCTCCCACACCATTAAACACCACGAGAACAATAACAATTATGAGACGACAGGCACTAATAAAAATAATTCCTACATGAGCCAAAAGGACAGTAGTTGTATATCTACTCAAAGTCTGGCAAAAGAACACAAATTCAGGATAACCTCGTAGATGCCCTTTCAAGACGAATTACAAAAAAAAACATAAAGCTATTTATATTTTCACTTGAGCTTCAAAGACACATTTGTATTGTGAAATGTAAGGGTGTTTCGAAGCCCTTCTTTTCTGCTGTTGTGTATGAACGGATTTATATCCAAGCCTAGACCACAGGGTACTATGTACTGAGAGGCAGCATACCACGTATGATAATCAGCCCGCTTTACCGACAAAATACATTTTCTGGGAACAAAGGATTTTGTGTCTCTTATTTCCATAGGCCCTCTGCAGAAATCTTGGATGGCGATGGGGCCCATCAGACAAATTGCACGGCTCAAGAAAAACACACACATTTGCACGGGACGGCAAAAAACACTTTTCTCTCTCAAACTCCCTGGAAAAGCTTATTCTTGCATTGTAAGAATGCGTGATGCATGTATGGCTTTTGGTTTGGGGTTAACAATAAGCGTGACGACAAGAGCGTGTGTTTATGAAGATGCGGTATTTATCGGCCATGTGAACTCCGGTAATTGCTGTAGGTATGCTCGGAAGAAGCAGTCCAGTGAATTGGCAATCTGACCCCCTGTGAATCTTACTGGCGTCTCCTAGTCTGGTTCGCTCTCCTGTATTTGGTATTTAGGGCTTGAGACATGGAGCGTTAAAAAACGGATTCACTTGTTACCGGATCGGGAGCTAGTTAATGGTACTGTTACGGGTTTTTGTTGTTATGAAATGCACTGCGATTGTACAATTGTCTATACTTCATGTAAAATAAAATAAAAACCCGAATCTGTTTACTATTAATATAGTCAAATTCAGATTTCACTGTGGAATGTTATGCATATCTCCTGCACTGAACTGCAAAAATACTCAATAAACATAATTAAAAATGCGGCTACCACAGCTATTATTCTGTTTATTGCGTTGTTGTTGTTGTTGTTGTTGTTGACAATTACGATGAGAAGCTTACACTTCAGAGTCTCGCGTGGAGTTCCTGTCATGCTGGGGGGAAAAAAAAAACACAAAAAACAACAGCGTTCAAAAGGCTTGCTTCGACAGCAGCCTCGCTAGGGGTGTAGGACATTTTACTGTCCTGCCGTCTCCTCCTATCGCGAAAACTCCGCTTCACAGTTTGGATGGAACCCATCCTCCATAGGAAGAAATGTGCTCGACCATAAACTTGGATTGAAAGGCGAGCCCCGCCCTCGCTGCGAGCTTTTCCATCCCACCGGAGCCTTAAAAACGCCAGGCTGGAAGTCGGGCTCGCAGAAGCACGGTCGGGAAAGGCACTGGGTCCAGCTGCGCTCTAGCGCGCACAGAGAAAAGTAAAGTCTGCCGAACTTAAGTCTTTAAATTCCGGGATTCTGTTTTGTGACAAAGCCAAATCTTGTCAACGCAGAGAAAAAAAGAAAGAAAGGCAGCATGGATTTTCTAAATCACAACTATTTGAACGCTCGCACCTCTTACGATTACACCTTTAATTTCTGGAATGACTACCTGGGTCTGTCGACGTTGGTCACGAAAAACAGCAAAAGCAGCGTACCCCAAAGTCAGAACTCCATCACGGAGTCCCTGAAAGCGACGCTGGGCTTGGGCGATTCCCCTACCTGCTCGTGTATACTCGGGGGCAGCGGGGAAGGTGGGCATTTGGACTGCTGCTGTCCCTCGTCCAGTCCCCCGCCTCCCTCCATCCTCGACCTGAAGGAGCGCTTCTCCATTTTCAGCCCCTTCCCGGGCCAGGGCGCTGGCGTCCCCCCGCAAGACAGGGACCCCGGCTTTGCCGGCAGCTTCGCCGGTTTCGACCTCTTCGGCATGGAGAGGAAAGTCCGAAAACCCGCCCCCAGGAGCAAGCAGGAGCCCAAGATCTGCGTCTTCTGCAGGAATAACGGGGCGCCGGAGGAGGTGTACGGCTCCCATGTGCTAAAGACACCCGACGGGAGGGTTGTGTGCCCCATTCTCAGAGCCTACACCTGCCCCCTATGCAGTGCCAATGGGGATAATGCCCACACGATAAAATACTGCCCGCTTTCCAAAGATCAGCCAGCCCAGCGGCCACTGAAGGGAGGGAGGGCAGTGGGTGGTAAGAGACTCAAAATATTCTAAATAATTACAAATAAAATAGATCATAAACTTAAATTACGAGAATTGCACTGAAACCTCTTTTTTTTCCCCCCTCGAATGACTGTTTCAATTACGGCTTTCCCTGGTCCTAACTGCTACGGTGTTGTTTTCTTCACTTCTAAAAGAAAACAAATAACTTTCCAAAACCTGTAACCTTTTTTTAAGAAAACAAATATAGTTATGTCTATTTTTATTTTGAAGTCATCTTTATGTTGCCCACGTTTGTACGCAGTTATTGGACAAAGTTATTGGGATGCACCTTCATTCGTAACCATGAAGTGGTATTTTGTTTTTGTGAGAGGGAAAGAGCTATCGATTTTGAAAATATTATTTTTGAGAGACACATAGCTATATTTCCCAAGTACGTTTTATTTTATTATTTTTTTCGAATTTGTAAGCTAAGCTTACTTTGTTTTCTCTTGCTTGACTGATGAACCAAAGTTTATTTCGACCTATTTAAAAGAGAATGTTTTTCATTCTGTTATTTAACAACTGATGTCGGATGTCAACCCCCCCTTTATTTTCGGTCTGTTGGGTATTTTTTTTTCAGTCGCCTTTTTCAATCCACAATGCTCTTTCAAGTCGTGTTCTCGAGTTAAAGGCCGTGACATTTCATATCGGTGAGAAGAAAGAGCTACTTTACACAAAGGGCGCTCTGTTAAACCCCGGTTTGCTTTTAGTAACTTCGTAAACTTCTTAGCAGTTGCTTTGCCAAATTACTGTTGCGTTTTGTAATACTAGCTGATTCACCGTGTCCGCCCGTCCCCCTCCCCTCTTTTTCCGGTCATAAATACCCAAATCAAAGCTACTCCTAATGTTTACAAACTCGATAGAAGGTAAGACACTGGATTTTCTGTCTTTTAGAGTTTCATTCAGTTCCGTTTTCTTTACCGCTTCTTTCAGCTTTAAGGGTTAATCCCCTGTTAGTGCCAGAGGAACTTGGATTGCTTTTCATTATTTCGGTAAATTTCTCAAAGCAAATATACTAAGATAGTATTGTTACCCGACTTCCACAGCACGAATGGAACTATTGAATGTCATATATATATATAAAGCTTTTAAACAATGTATTATCCCTTTTTTTGTCCGCATTGTGTACAATTCTAAATCCAAAAAGACGCAAACTTGTAGTGAATGTACTGAAGAAATAAATTGAGAAGTGACTCTAGGAGGACTGCACATTTCATACGGTTTTGTTTACCAAAGGAATACAATTTTAATTAAATGAAAAAAAATGTAATAGATTTGCTGTATTGTATATAAAAGTGTGTAATGATTATTCAGTATTTTAACATTATAATAACTGACTTAAGAGGGTACTACCTCAACAGAATTTTCAAATAATTACAAATTTGTACTTATATGTAAAATGTCAACATTTGCAGTTTATAAAAATAGTGCTGCCATTTATAATAAGGGTTTTTAATAGTATTTTTTGGATCTTTGTATAACATAATTGTATTTTTTTTGCCTTCTACATTTTGGGAGTGAATTACAGATAAGCTCTAAGCATTGTTTGCCAAAAGGCAGGTGTTGTAAATACTATCTGTGACTTTTTGAAGTTGTTAAATGTTCCATGTTTTTTTTTTTGGAGAGAGAGAAATGAGAGAGAGAGAGTGGGTTATGTTTATGAAAATAGACATTTTACCAGTTTTAACTGAAGTTTTTAATTAAAAAGAAACACTGTTGAATTTTGTTATTTATATTTTGTCACCATTTTCTGTATGCTGCAGTGCAGAATTTAAAAAAATGAATTCACCACAGAAATAAACAGCTTATCCAATATTTTAACTCATAACCTGATGTCTGTTTGTTTTATTTAATGCACAAAAATGAAGGTAAATTGTTACTGAACTCATGGTACTTGCCAATGTGTTATTATTTAAATACAGTATAAGATTATTTCATATTAAAATGCGTCATCTTTTAGTACATTCTTTCAGCATTGATGAGGGATTGGTTGGCCCAAGCACCACTTCTTAACCTACGGGCAGTATCTGAGAGGAGTTACTTGCAAAGAAGAACAAAGCTCTAGTGTCACCTCAGAAATGTTTATCTTTCTGAAGTCGCCCACTGAAGAATTTGTACGTCTCGGTTCCTCTCAGATGAGCTGTGTTCTACATAAAGCTCCCTGAATGACTGGAGATCAACAGCCTTCAGCTTTGAGGGGGGCCTGTTCTTTTGGCAGACTGAAAACCTCAGGAACCAAAATAACTTTACCCCTAAAAAGAACAAAACAAGGAAGGCTGAGTATTGCTCTGATTCGTCGGCTGGCTTGTTTGGTCACCTGAGAACTACGCTCTCTAGATGTACTGGTCTATCGACCAATTAATTTATGAATAAGTGTAACAGGGGTGTATATATAGAAGAGCACAGCAGCCTTGCAAGTATCCATTCAAATCTGAAAAGGCTGCTGAAGTATTTAGCACATTAGTAATGTTTTGACAGCAGAACTGTTGCCTTATTCTAGCCATCCACATGAATTATATGTTATATATAGTTAACTTATTAAAATATGCATCCAGCCTGTCCTATCTTCCATTTTATATTCCATTTAGAAATGGTATTTATTGTTTATGCAGTTAAAAGCACAACTCATTATACAACCCTACTTTAAAACATTCTAAAAATTCCCTTTTCTCTGGAGTGACTTTCATTGGTTTTTCCAAATATTTTGTGGTGTAGTCTTATATAAAAAATATTTTCTGTCATACACAATGCATCAGAAACTGCTAAAAGTGCTTCAACCACAGAAATCAGCCGTGACGAACAAAATACACATTTGTGCTTAACAGACCATGTATTAAAGGCTACATGTCTTCAAGTATTTAAAAACTTTCTTCAGAGGAAAAGGTTGTTTGATTTGGCAGCCATCTGAAATATAAACTAATACATGGCTATCATTTTAGATAGAGTTTACAGGTCCTTTTGTCATTTATTATAACAATATACTAGTAATCATCACCCTGCTTGATAAACTGTTTTTTTAATTGGGGTAAGTGAACTATGAGGATGTTCACTAAGATTTTATATAAAAGCACACCTATAGATAGCTAAAAAATATTTTTTACTTTTGCTTACTCTTGAGCTGAACTTCACTAAGAAATCCAACTTTCAATGTACACATACAGTATAATTACCCACACCTTGACTTTAAAGTCATTTTGTGATTGGAATTGCATTGCCTGGTCCTAATTCTGATTTATTTGAAAAAGCCCACAGAGCTCAAAGAGCATGAGTACTGTAGCCAGGGAGACCCATGCGTAAACACCTGGTCTGGTGCTGCTTGACAGGAGTTAGGAGCTCCAAGGTCTGAGCTTCAGAGAAGGATTAGGTGCCATCAGTGTTGGATGGCTTCAGCTCCGGCACCCTGACAGCTGCTGATTCTGCGGTTCATCTCTTGGTTGTAATCATCTTGGACCACGGATGACCCCCCCCCTGCTGTTTGACTTCCTGGGTCAAAGTTGGAGGAAATGTCTTACAGTATTAGCAGTGTGTTTTTGGAAGATGTACAAGTGTTGTTTTCATCTCCTCAGCTCTGCTGGAATGGTAGTGTTGGTGGAAGTGGGGTTTTTGTAACAAGATTAATCGAAAGACGTCCATCATTTCCAGTTTGGCAGCTATGGGAAATAATGGGAAACCTGGGAAATAACAAGCAATTAAAAATACATCCACGAAAAACGACTGGCTTTTGTTAGGCATAAAAACCCCCATCAGAAAACACTTTGAAATCCACATGCTTAATTTTCACTTCTATGTCCATATTCTTCACGGAGCTCTTGTGACATGTTTGTGTTAACCCATGCACCATGGGCAAGGCTTTGAAACATGGGCAGCTGATTCTTGAGTTTTCTTTAAGCCGTAAATGTAAGACAACATGTGTAGAGAAGCAACGATATGCATCAGCACAATACTGCAGCACCAGGATAACACTGACATTATGTAGTCTAGGTATTATGCTGCTGTCTGGAAAGCCTATTCAAAAGAGGTTTTGGATAAGTCCATGCTTAAAGGGTGCTAGAGGGATGCAAAAAGTGAAAATAAGGTAACGTATATGATACTGGCAAAATCATTTCAACAGGCGAGTTTTGAACCAGCATGCAACGGTGCTGTTGAAAGGAAACAAAACAACTCATGTAATTACCTTTCCATATTTCCCCAGTCTCTTCTTTAATACATCACACACGTGTTTCCAAGGAAAATACTTCATCAGCGAAAATATATTTCTTCCCTTGCTGCTTTCCACTAGTTACACAGCAATAACAATGTCTGTAAAATCAATAGGATCTGAAACTGTGTACGAAACACATGGCTGAAAGTTTTACTTTTACAGACCACTGCTGCCTTTCTCTCAAGGATCCACCTGACATCTGGGGTTTCAGTGGAACATATTGGATGGCAGCAGACCGTGAAAGCGATTAAGATGGGAGGCCTTTTCCGCAAACTGTGTTTCCTTCTGGGACATGTGTTACCATTGCATTAATTTCCAAGACTTTTATATTTCAATGGGGGTTTAATCAATTGTTCTTCAGAAAGAGAATCTGCATATTTGTCTGTCTTCGGAGGGAAGGTGCTGCTCAAAATTAAAACAAAAGATACTTTAATTAAATGCACAGATACCCAGGTAAAGAAGGAGCATCTGTTTATTCTGATGCCCTAGACATCACAGACAAAATAGCAGTGAGGTTACAGTTTTCTGGTTCCACTGTTTCCCTTTCGCAAGGTAACAGTTTTGCTCAGATTGAATGAAACAGATCAGAAGGCCTATATACAGTGTAACACTGTTTAGAGTACAGCATCTGTCTTTGTGAGTCTTGGGAAAAGGGCTGATTTCACAAGAATGAGTAGTTTGATAGATCGAGATACTCAGTAATAATTACAGCTAATTCTAAAGAACATTGCCCACTTGTTTTGCAGACAAATACAAACAGCAACACATTAGATCCAGTTCTTGGCTTCAGTGTTGCAAATAGAGCATGATTGATAGTTGTCTTTCCCAGTCAGATAGCATAGACGTGAAAGCATCAATCTGTTCAAGGAACCAACAATTCATTTGGGATTTTAAAGAAACCAGCAAGGGTTGTTCAGTTCCAATAAAAAAGGAAAATGTTAAATGAAATGATTGACTTCCAGTTATCTGAAGTCTAAGAGGTTATAGACAGTGTTTTCTGCCTTTAAGGGGTATTCAAATAGAAGGTTCTGATAGGATGATGTCATCTTCCTGGGGGCAGTATGGAGTTGATTAATAATGGACCTGTGTACTAACCATGGTCAAGCATGCTAAATAAATAATACAATTATGAACATACTGAATTATGTACTTTGACACGCATGAAGACTCAGACACTTAGGAAGTCGGAGTCCCTGTATACACCCTGCATAGCGTCTACAGAAACACGAGGAGGACTGTACATGCCTGCCTAATCAAATGACACATAGTAAAAATGGTAGAAAAGAACTACACAGTTTCAATTTACTGTATGTGCCCAGCATTCATAGTTTGGTAATATACTAGTGGACCTGTTACCTGCTGGATAAATATTGATTGCAATGACTCACATTCAATGGACTGACTTCCATCAGGTCATCTAGAGCCTGTTAACATCCTGTTGTGCAAATCTGTTTCTCTGTACTACAATTACAGAGGGACAGAGTAGCTGTGTGGTTAAAAAATATAAATATCTTTCCGACAGACATAGCAGGTCACAGCTTATTATTTTCAACAATACACAACTGAAATGATGAGAGAGCTAGAGGCGTAAATTGGGACAGAAACAAGGATAAGATAACCAACACTTTTGCTTATTACTGCGCAAAAATAAACTGGCTTTTGCACTCGGCAAGCTTTGAATTCTACAGAGGGTTTGTTCAATATCTGGAAAAGAGAGAAGAATCCACTTGGAAGTTCTTGTGTCAATCTTCCTCAGTTTCTCAGAGCATCATTTATGTGCGGTATCTGGACGTTTACAGCACTGATCGTTTTTCGATTTAATGCATTTGTTGTGGATTGCTACCCACAACAGTCAACAAGAAATAAACTCCAAGTGAAATGCTAAGAGACCCTGTCATCATGTTGGACAAAATCAGAGCAGTTCAAAACAGTCATTGACCTTTACAGAGTGACACGCCAGTCAGAAAATAGGGGGGAGCCATAAGTGTTATAAGGTTTATTATTACAACTGCTGAATCCTACCGCTTATATTATGCTCACTTTGAAGTATTGTCGTGAAACTGACGCGGAATTCAGACAGGCCTCAAAATTGGGTGAGGTAGGATTTCACAGACATCATTAAGAAAACCGGCAGAATCGAAAAAGATTAATTTGCTGGTAAATCTTGATCTCAGCTGCTTCCTTTCTGCTAGAAAACAGAATATCCTTGATATTATCCCAGTTTGCTGCTATTTTACTGAGGTATTTCACATGATTTTCATAAATCGATTTAAGCATTTACCGTTGAGCATACCTTATCATATCATATTCAAGAACATAGCTGGCAAATGTTTCTTTGTATCAATATCATCACAAAGTACTAAGCCGATACTTAGAACATCAATGCATTTTCTAACCCACTTATCCAGTAGAGGGTTGTGTGGGGAACTGGAGTCTATCCTGACAATGGGTGCACGATGGGATACACCCTGGATGGGAGGCATGTCTACCACAGGACAGACAAACAGACACATACACTCCCACCAGCGACAATTTCACTGAAGAAAACCCACTAGTGTGTCTTTGGACTGTGGGAAGAAGCCGGAGCACTCGGAGGACACCCAGGCGAGCACAATACGAGCAGGAAC